TAGAGATTGCTTCTCAGGGACTATACTAAGGTGCCAGGAATACAAGTCTACATTGTGGTTTACAGTGTGAGACCTGGCATCAGACAGCCTGGGTTTGCATCCTAACTCTGCCATGTTCTTGCCTTGTGACCTTAGGCAAATTGTTGAGTACCTCCATGGCTCATCTTTAAAATGGGATAGAATTACTTACCTCCGAGAGTTGTAGAAACTCAATTGGTTAATAAATATAAAAGGCTTAGAAACTGACTAAATATATTAAATGATCAATAAATGATGGCTCTTATTCTTTTTTTTTCTATTTTTTTTAATTGTTTAGGATTCACTGAGGATACAAAGAATTAGGTTACACTGGTTGTACTTGTTAGATAAAGTCCCTGTTATATTTGTGTCCCTTCCCCAAAAGGTGTGCCACACACCATGACCCCCATCCTCCTCCCTCCCTCTCCCCTCTTGCTTATTCCCCTACCATACTCCCTCCCCTTGTATTAGCTCAGCTACTGCCTTTATATTAGAATAGAATACACTGGATTCTTGGTTCTCCATTCTTGCGATGCTTTACTAAGAAGAATGTGTTCCACTTCCATCCAGGTTAATATAAAAGATGTGGTCTCCATCTTTTTAGTGGCTGAATAGTATTCCATGCTATACACATACCACAGCTTGTTAATTCATTCCTGGGTTGATTTGGCATTTAGGCTGTTTCTGCATTTTGGCAATTGTAAATTAAGTTACAGTAAACAGTCTAGTGCGAATGTCCTTATGATAAAGGGATTATAGGATCAGATGGGAGGTCTAATTTGAGTTCTTTAAGGATTTTCCATACTTTCTTCCAAAAAGGTTGCTTTAGTTTACAGTCCTACCAGTAGTGTAAAAGTGTTCCTTTCTCTCCACATCCACACCAGTATCTGCAGCTTTGAGACTTTGTGATGTGGGCCATTTTCACTGGGGTTAGGTGATATCTCAGGGTAGTTTTGATTTGCATTTCTCTGATGATTAGGACAATGAGCATTTGTTTTTTATAAGTTTGTTAGTCCTCTTTAGAGAAGGTTCCATTCATGTCTCTTAAGCAGTGATATGGGATTGTTGGGTCTCTTTTTGTTGATTAATTTGAGTTCTCTATAGATCAGTGGTTCTCAACCTTCCTAATGCCGTGACCCTTTAATACAGTTCCTCATGTTGTGGTGACCCCCAACCATAAAATTATTTTCATTGCTACTTCATAACTCAAATTTTGCTACTGTTATGGATCATAATATAAATATGACCCAAAGGGGTCACAACCCACAGGTTGAGAACCACTGCTATAGATCCTAATTATCAAGCTTTTGTCCAATTCATAAAATGCAAGTGTCTTTTCCCATTCTGAAGTTGTCTATTTGCTTTGGTTATTGTTTCCTTAGTTGTACAGATTTTCAGTTTAATTAAGTCCCAATTGTTTATTTTTGTTGTTGTTGCTATTGCCCTATTGCCACAGAAGTCTTCTTCATCAAATATTTACCTAGGCCAATATCTTCAAGTGTTTCCACCACACTTTCTTTCCCCCACACTTTATCGTTTCATCCCTTAGATTTAAATTTTTTATCCATCTTGAATCAATTTTTCTAAGTGGCAAGAGGTGCAGGTCCAGTTTCAGTCTTTTACAGGTGGTTATCCAGTTCTCCTAACACCATTTATTGAATAGGGATTCTTTTCCCCAGGGTATGTTCTTATTTGGTTTATCAAAGATCAGGTAACTGTAAGGTGTTAGTTTCATCTCATGGTTTTCTATTTGGTTCCAAATGTCAGTATCTCTATTTTTGTGCCAACGCCATGCTGTTTTGATCACTATGGCCTTGTAGTATAGCTGAAAGTCTGGTAGGGTGATACCCCTGGCTTTATTTTTATTGCTAAGAATTGCCTTGGCTATACGAGTTTCTTCTGTACACGGTTTCTGTCATCATGGAGTTACTGTCTCCAGTGACAGGGGAGCTATGTCAAGCAGGCAGCAATGGCAAGGAAGGTAGATGCTGCAGAAGCGCCTATCTCGTCTCTGATGAGGGTCTGATCTATGGGGAAGAGGGAACTGTCTACCTGTAGTGAATCATGGAATTCTGGGACCCCTCACCCCCATTCAAAAGTAACCTGTTTACAAGGGCGTGGGCCCTTGTAAAATGCATTCCTCTCTCAATCTTTTTTCACAAGGCCCTAAAGGTCACCCTGTTGAAATGGTTCCCTAAAGGATCACTGGTATCAAGCTCTAATAATTTTATGTAAATTCCCTTGAGATAAACTACTCAGGTTCTAGAAGAACCAGACCCTTGTCCAGTTGAATCTCAAAGAAGAAGGTAGATAGGAAGGAAAGGGGACGCAAAGAACAAAGAGGACATCAGGAGAAAGCCAGAAGCCAGCAGGGACCCGGTTGCCCACCATCACTAGCGTATCCCCGATATATACTCACCTCTGCCTCACACCTGCTAACATGGCTCCTTTACAATACTGTGCCAATTCTCTGATCTTTTGTTTGTTTTAAATCAGTCATAATTTTTAAGCTTGTTAAAATTGTTTTTTCCTACTATGAGCCAAACCTAGTTTGGCCAGAGAGAGGCTGCCGATAGAAGACAACTCTTGCTATTTCCACATTGTCCTATCCAGACTACCCCTCAAACATTTTTTCCTGCAGGCATCCTCAAACTACGGCTCACAGGCCACATGCAGCCCGCCTAGGACATTTATCCGGCCTGCCAGGTGTTTTTGCCGCCGCTGCCTGTCCTGCTTAGCAGCTGACTCATCCCAGGGCCCACAGTCCAGCACTCCAATGGTCCGAGGGACATTGAACTGGCCCCCTGTTTAAAAAGTTCGAGGACCCTTGCCTTAGAGCATCCTGTTCGTTTCCAGTTCTGAGATGGGGGCCCACCCCTTTTCCCTGACCTACCCAAGGCAGTTGTTCAGAAAGTCACGGGTCTTCACCCCAAAGCCTGTAGATAATAGAGACACTGTGGCTGCACATCTGCTCTTCCCACTTTGTCTCGGTGTGGACAGGGAGTCTGCGTTAGAGCACCTGGCTCCTCTCTCTAATCTCCTTAGACATTGCAAAGGTGTTCAACAAATTATCCAGCTTGTAATTCAATCTCCACTGCAAGGTTGGCAGGTTGTTTTATTTTTCTTTTTAAATTAAATACTGATAAAGATCTTGGACCATGACGGATTCAGAGCTAATTTTACAAATGTTTTCCCTCTGATTCCTTCTTTTTCAGTCCTGCATGCTAGGGCCTTAATTTCTTTTTATTCAGAGTAGAGATTGGTGCCATACAATTTCCCTCGAGATGGGCTTTTCTGGACCTTCTTCACTTGACAGAGTACCAGCTCCTGTCTGCATTTGGTTTCTACATTTCTCAGCCACATTTTCTCAGGGGACCCAGGGTAAGCGTAGGTCCTGCCGCTGGGAGTGTGTCAGGGCATGTGACTCCCAGCCTTGTACTCTGCTCTCTCTACCATTCTGCCCACGGGGGCTCACAGCAACTCTTCTCTCCTGCCTGAACACCTGTGCCTGATCAGCTTTCCCCTCAACCCACCAGACCCTGAGGAAGAGGAGTTGAGAGAAAGGGCAGGGGCCAGGGTCTCTTGGTATCTGATGGCCTCTTCTGGGGCAATTCACTGAGCAGCTGAGCCAGAGCTGAGGAAGAGAGGCAGCAGGAGATGCTGGGCCAGACCCTAGTCCCTATAGCCTAGTCTAGTATAGGGACTAGGCTATCCTATAGCCATAGGCTATACTAAAGCTATACTACAGCTCTCTGTAGTGAGCAGGAGCAGCCCGGTGCTATGCCCTGTGGAGGTCTCTGAGGCCTAAACCCTCCAAGAAACTCACAGAAACTGATTAGGAGACACCTTGTCAGGAATGGGGCTCAGAAAAAAAGAATGAAAGTCAGAAATGGGGTGAGAGGCATGCATGAATACAGTCAGCCCCATATCCTGCACTTCTGTATCTACAGAGTCAACCAACCAGGGATTGAAAATATTTGGGGAAAAAACACAATAATGAAAATATGACTAAGACAAATAAAAAGACAAATAAAAAACAGTTATACTGTTATATACAGTATAACAAGTATTTATATAGCATTTACATTGTATATTAGGTATTGTAAGTAACCCAGAGATGACTTAAAGGATATGGGAAAATATGCATAGATTGTATGCAAATATTTCACCATGTCATATAAAGGACTTCAGCGTATGCAGATTTTGGTAAGGGGGGGTGGTGGTGGAACCAGTCCCCTTCAGATACCATGGGACAACTGTAAACACATATTTTTCTAATATAATCTACCAGATGTCCTCTATACCAAAACAATCACGCTTCATATTCAGAAGCAGAATTCCAGGCTCCAAGAACACCTGTGTGACAAAATGAACAAAGGTCAAGATTCAGACCAAGTTCAAATGATGCATCTTCCATGTGCCAGGTACCTCCCAGCTTATCTCATTTATGGCGTAAAGCAGCCCTCAAGTTGGTATTTACACATTCACCTGCCAGTTGAGGAAAGGAGGCTCTGGGGAGTGGGCTGAGAAGAACAAGACAGGTACCAGTTACAGAGCAGGATACAATCTCCCATCATCCAGGGAGAACAAAGCAAAACATGGCGGCTCCGCTCCTAAAGGCTGAGCATGTGGCCAGCTGGAAATCTGAGGCAATCCTCAGCCGCTGTATTACTGCCCTTGGCCCCTAAATTCTGAGTAGGGAACTGGACTGGTCGAGTCTGGCCCCTGGCTGAGCCTGACTGAGCAGGATGAAGCTGAGCAGCTCCAGCTGGGGCAGTAAGAGGCTGGGGAAAGGGAGACAGACTGTCCTCTGCAAATAATGCTCACCCCTGCCCTCTGACTGGCCTTAGACACGTGGTTTCCCTTCACTGCATAGCTGCTGCCCGGAGTTTGCCTTGCTGAGAGAGTGTTTGCGTATGGCCTTGGATGCATGATAACCCAAGGCCTTCTCGCACAGAAGCCCTTCCCAAGCTGTGCGTCAGCCTGGGATCACCTGGGAGCAGAAACCAGGTCATTACATAACCCCTACGCTTAATTTTAAAAGGCCCCAACAGTGGTTGTTGAGTTTAGGGTTGGCCAGGTCCTGGAGCTCCTTCCTAGGACTTGGTGGCAGTTACTCTGAGAGGATTTCAGAGCCCTGGAGAGATGACTAGACAGCACAGCAAGGACTTCTCTGGGCCGCAGACCCATCACAGCCACTTCCAGGTAGGTGGTTCTGAGCTCTCTAAGAGCACTCAGAATTAAGCAAAGGCTTATCTCCCAGTCACCTCAACGAATACTGTGTTTATTTAGCTATGTGTAAAGCCTCGTGTTTCTCAGCGGACCACGACTGTTTTCTGCGCCTTTGATTTCCTGCACCTGTCCCCAGGCCCAAAAGGAAGCAGGTGCTCTGTAGGTGTTTGTCAAATTAATTAGCTGTATCATCCCAGGATTTAGGAAATGCCCTATCATATGAAAAGGTCAGCAAATCCTCCTTCACCAATGGAGTCTACCTACCATCCCACCAATGGATTCTCAAATCTTTCCTAATAGCAGAGTATACCTCAAACTCTAGTGAAATAAGGCAAAGCTATGATGAACTGCCTAGTAATGAATTAATGAACACCACTCCATGGAAAACGTTCTGTGGGTATGTGAAATGGTCAGAAATATAACTGACAGAGGTCATAGAATAGATATGAAACTTACCATCATGGTTTTTGATACTTTTCCTACTATGGTCCACAGGAGAGATGAATTTCTCCCAGGTCATACGTCCCCAACAGCCAAGCTAAACCGCGACTGTTTATTTGTCTCTCAGGAAAATAATCAACAGGCAAATGTGTCCTTTACCAGGACAAACTTGAATGTGCTCCCTTTTTCAAAATTAGAGTCCTGATCATGGGCAGCCTTTATTGAATGCTTACTGTGTACTAAGCACTATGCCAAGAGCTTCATAGAATAATCCTATCTGAGCTAGGAACCACCCTGTGTGATTGGCTCTATAGCAGCTTTATATTGGAGATTAAGAGAAACAGAGCTTTATAAAGGTTATGGAAGATTGCCAAGAGTAATATGTGTGGAGGACTAGAATTCAGATCTTTTGTTATTTTTTTCCTGACACAATAACAGAAGAGATAGCAATGTATCAGTGACTTACAGAGAAGAAAAGTACGTGCTATATAGGGCTGCACAGGGTTGAACTCAAAAACAGTAAACACGGCTACAGGAGGCAGGCTTTGCAATAACAAGAAGATGAAGTAACTCTCATGGAATCCAGATCTTTATGTTACACTCTTCTGTTTCCAAAATTATCGTACTCAAATTTCAGCACTTGGTGACTGTAACTCTAAATTTTCTGTTATATCCCTCACAACTGATTGCCACAATTTATGTATTATAATATCAATAACCTTTTTCCAGGAATATAATCCTGCTTCTGTCAAAACTAGACATTTTATCCATGATTCAAACCCAATTGTCCTATAATTTATTTGAGTTACTTTGGGCCTTAAAAAGCAATAAGGCAATAATCATGTCTTCCTAAGTGTCCATAATGTCCAACTTGCTATGTCAGACATCTTGCAGAAATGGTTTCTAATAATAATGGATGTCTAAAGTATTATATCTAAAGTTGGAGCAGGACAGACAATGGGAGCCAAGTCTTGGCCCACTTAGGAGTTTCACTGTTCAGGCTGCAGGGGACTCTCCTTCCTCTTTCTCTATTCCTTGCAAGTTTCATTTCGTGTCTTTCCTTCTGTGTTGGTTTCCTTCACTTCTCCCCTCAGCCGAGATGCAAGCCACGGCTTCCCGATGGTCTGGGAGAACAGTCCCCTGAGCTGTGTAGGAGGAAGGTAGCCACATAGGACAATGGGACAGAAAACTGTTGAGAAATGTAAATTAGTGCAACCTCTATGGAAAACAGTATGGGGATTCCTCAAAGAACTGAAAATTAAACTACCACACAATCCAACAATCCCACGACTGAGGATCTGCCCAAAGGAAAAGAATTGATTATGTCAAAAAGATACCTTCACTTATATATCAGAGCACTGTTCACAATAGCAAAGACGGAATCAGCATAAGTGCCTATCAACAGATGACTGGATAAAGAAAATGAGGAGTGTTTGTGTACATATGTATACATAAACACACACGTGTATGTACATTGTACATTGTGTATGTACATTGTGGAATACTACTCAGCCATAATAAATGATAAAATCATATCTATTGCAGCCGTATACCTAGAACTGGAGGCCATTAGTATCTTAAGTGAAATACACAGTCAAATACCACATGTTCTCACTTATAAGTGGGAGATAAATAACATGGACACAGAGAAGAACAGCAGACAATGGACACTCGGAGGGTGAGAGGATGGGAGGGTAGGAGGGAAGTGAGGGATGAAAAGTCATGTAGCTGCTACACCTCCTGAGTGGTGTACTCCTCCATTCAGGAGGTGGTCACACTACTAGCCCAGTCTTGACCAGCATGCATGATGATGATCTGTGTAACTACACTTGTATTCCCCAAATCTATTTAATTTTTTTAATTTTTACACTCTGAAAATAAAAAGGAGAAGTCTCAGAAAGGTGGCTGCTCCAAAGAAGGGTGCAAAGCCCAAGAAGGGTAAATAGAGTGCAGTGGGCAGAGAACTGGGAAGAGCAGGGCTGGAAGGACACAGGAGGGCAGCAGAGGGAGCTGGCCATGAGGGGCCTCAGTCTGTGGGAGCTGGAGGAAAGGGGGGGAGAAATCTCCAGAGAGCACTGGCATTTTTTATGAAGAAGAACCACACAGAAAGAGAAGAAGCGGTATTTCCAGCCCAGCTCTGACATCTGTGTGGGAGTCAGTTGACAGACAGGAGTGTTTCTCTCTGCCATCCTCACCAGTCTCTGCCTCGTCTAGAAGTCATGCCCAAGGAAGTGCCTTCAAGGACCGAGCAAAGTGAACTCGCTCTAGCCATCAACACTTGAGCGGCTTCTTTTTTTTTTTT